CTATTAGTTTTTATCAGGTTGATCGTATGCTTCTTTAACAGTCTGTGCCATTGAGAATAAAAATAATGTTTTCCTACTTCTCACATTCGGGAAAATTTTAGGGTTAGACAATTTATTTGAACCGATCTTTAATGAGTTTTGTGATGTCTTAGGTTTAGACAATAGACAAACACCAGTCTCTTTTAGCATGAATACTTGTAACCAGATGTGTCTGAACAACGTATTTTACTATTACAACACTAATTAATGCATGAAGAACTGTTGATCCTTTCAAAGCTCCCGAATTCAACCTCAGGTTTTGGTTTTGTGTGTGTGCTTTCTGTGGAGCGTTTCGAGACCGTTGTTGATCTATTCTTCGATTTTGCCTTTTGCTATGTCTGTTTTTCCTCGAATCTTTGGTCTGACAAAAAATTGCTTATATTCAAATACGCATGTCGCATTAAAAAGTAAAAACAGCGAATGGTCGACCTGAAGTAATATAAATGTATCCGGGTTGAGGAACAAGTTTTTAAATGTTACTTTGTTTGCAATCCCATAAAAGTCTTAAAGTATAAATTTGTTGTTGAATCACTACGGGGGTAAATATCAATTTCACCTATTTACTATTTATTATTTGAATAAATCCTCAGATGATTTTAATTGCTTTTTTCCATATATATTTGGGCATCGCACAACACCGTGTCTTCCTGTACAGATCAGCATATTGCTGTATAAAATTTTCTATAAAGTGCATCTACCGATATCTAGGATGATTTTGTACCGCCAAGAATTCATGGGTTTAATCCTCGTCTAGGTCAAATTAAAGATTATAATTGATATTTTAATTGATTGATTGATTGTTGATTACGGGTTGTTTAACGTCCAGTAGCAAATATGTCATGCTGTTCAGGAAGAGAAACAAATTAACAATACATAAAATAAGGTAGATGCTGTAATTGAGGCCGTCTGGGATGAAGAGCGATGAAATTTGGACTGCCAATATCAAATGAGGACATATTGAAAGGGACGGACATTTTGCATTGCAACAGGCCACCTACTGACGATCAAAGAGTTGTTGCAAGGGTTCTAAACGTACAGAGAGTGTGGTACTCTCTTTACACGAGGCAACGGATTTAACGTCTCCATTATGACCGGGCGTGGCTGCATACATCCAGCATAGCAAAACGAACGCCATACTTTCGCGAGGGTTTAACTGCTGGTCGAAAGAAGACCAAAGTGATCATATTTCTATTCCCAGTCACCCTTGGGAGGTATAGGTATTTGCTATTTCTTGTGATAAGACTGATAGATCATTCTGTGGACTGTTTCCATAATATCTTCTAAGTGCATTGAACTAACAAGCATCTGCAGATTATGCATTTTGCTTTTGCTTCCAGTAATAGCTAATATTCTTTTATATGTATCACTAAAAATTGAAATGTTTTTGTATTGGTGCTTGTCTTTAGTAGTCTTGTACGTACCGATATTAAAGTGGTTGTTATCCACTTGTTAAACACCAATAACCTACAGGAGCTGAGCAGGTAGTACCTAACCTCACATCATAGTCCATTTGAGAGTTATAAATCTTGAAAAAAGAAATTATAAAAGAATAATATTATAAAGGATAGAAGCTAAATTTATATCCCATATCTTTCTAATGGTAAAACATGTACGAGTTCTGACAATTTTTGTGGAAATGTTTTGTCAATAAATGAATAAGTTGCTCGTTATGTTTCATGTATCTCACAATCCAACAAATTCAGAGGGAGGTACAGATTTATTTAACGTTTTTCTATATTTTTATGCTGCCTTTTGTTATAATATTTGTTTTATTTTGATGTGAATGTAAATGTCAACATTATATTGTTTTTCATACATGTAATTGTTATGCCTTTGGCCCTCTTATGGGTGTAATTTGTGCTTAATAAAGTTTACATAATTATGGTTTATTGCTGATCAATTAAAACAACGTGAAAAAAAATTAAAAAACGAGATTAAGCTTCGTATATGTGGCTTGGTCCTCTGCAGTTGTCTTTAGTTATAACGTAGTTCTTTTTATTTCAAAGAATATAGTGTTGAAGGCTTATTGTTTGTATCTTTTATTGTGTATACATTATCAAAAATGTATCCACAATTATTGTAAACTTTTGCAGTTATACAGCTTGTACATATAGTAAAAAAAACCTGTATTGCTGAAGAGCATAACTTTGTTGAGATTAAGAAAAATACATGTTAATTTCTTTTTATTTTTTTTATATTTTTTTAAGGGGAGGGGTTATTTTTTGTCTTGTAGGATATCTTTCACATTTACATATACCCCACATTTCTTTTCATTTATATAAAAATATTTGCACGTAGCTTTCAATTTTCTAAAAATAAATTTCAGTTTCATATTTTAACATTACACTTAAACAAAGTGTTGACACTTGAATAACTTCCCGTCAAAGGATGCTATCTCAAGTGGTGGTCTCTTCCGTGTACTATGATCTATATTTAAATATATTGTCGACGAAATTAAACTCCAATATGAAAATAACTTTTTACCAATATGAAAATTACTATCTTCTAATATGAAAAATATATTCTTCTAAAATGAAAATAATTATCTACTCACACGGAATTAAGTATCGCCCCATATGCAAATCATTATCGCCCCATAAGAAATTTATTATCTTCCAATATGAAAATTATATTGTACTCAAATGACAAAAATTATCTACGCATATGGTATCATGAATCTCCCCATGTGGAATTACGTATCGCCCCATATTTAAATTATTATCTCATCTTATGAAAATTATTATTTTCCAATATGGAAATAATTATTTCCCCGTTTATAGATTAATATCTTTGATAACTTATGCGATCGTCCATTGTATAAATAACACATAGCTGAGAGGGTGATAGAGCAGATTGTTACCCCGAGAAAACATTGTCAGCTGAGGCGAAGCCAGGGTTAACAATGTCTTTTCGAGGGGTAACAATCTGCTCTATCACCCTCTCAGATATGTGTTATTTAATTTATTATACTGAATGTTCTGTTATTACTGTCTATTAAATTTCAAATTCAAAGTAATAAACTATGTCGTCTTGTACATAACAATCATCCTTATTTATTAAAGCGCACACTTGAGCAAGCGTCTCCGTGAAGGGTAATAGAGTATTTGCCATGGGATAGAGTAAATTGCCTCCCTCGTATTAACCAATCAAAATCTGGCATTTTGACATGAAGTATAATAATAATTATTGCATGTCAATTCCTGACGTCCACTATTGGTGCTGCATATCACTTAAACTGGTCTGCCATTCCATCTAAATCTCCGCTACGAAGTGTAGCGATAAGGGACTACAACCATATCCAACTATAGCAGTCATCACGTGACGTTGGTGACGTCACACATCACCCGTATCATGCCCAAGTAAAATGTATAGAAATGCACAGGGGCTTTCAGGAATCGATAAAATAAATTACTTTAAGTTCATGATAAAAAAAGTGTGGAAATATATAGTAATTCCTCATATATTTAGAAATATATTTATGCCTTTTGGAAAAGTTTAAATTTTGGTCTTCTCCCTTCCAAATGCTTTTGAATATTTGTCTTGTTGCCTCGATAATTCACACTGTTAAATCATCCAACTCCGATAAATATTGGATTTTCTGTCGTGTTAAACCTAAAATTGCGATTTAAACAAAACAGATGGAAAAATTGTGGAAATATGTGCTTATTACTATATTCATAAATATTTGAAATATCGTACATGCAATAGTTTAATTTTTTATTACGTCCCTTCCAAATTGATTTGAAAATTAGCTATTTTCAGAAAATCGGGTATTATTTTTCAAGATGGCGACCACATTGACAGCGTGGGCCGACTTGGTAAAAATATATTTTGTAAGATTGTTACAATGAAAATCAAATATTTGTTGGATGCTCGCGTTTTCAGTCATTGTCTTACCTTAAAACAGCATAGAATCAAACATTGGTTCCTTTTGATAAAACTGATACATGCTGTTGTTTTTTTATAAAAAATTTAAAAAATGGCGACCAAATAATTTTCAAACGTAGACGATGTTCGACACTTATTTTGTCCATGCAAATAATTCAATTTAATTTCACTGTTTATATTGCAATTAAATATGACACGTTATTGTCACTATAATGATAGCCAAGGACATAGCTAGACTAAGGAGATATTAAGTCATAACATCACCGTGATCAAAGAAAACAAACATGGCACCTAATCACGATGTAAGTTTTGACAATATCTATGTAGATGTATGTTTTGACAATACCTATGTTGATTAGTGTTGTCAGATTCTCAATGAAATTCATTACGATATTATTTTATATTTATAAAAGAAGACCTCGAATGGATATTAACCGAGGTGAAATAACTATATTTTTCAATTTTCTTTAAACCATTCATCGGGTAACTAGTAAATTTTACATAATCCTAATTAAACCAGTAACATGCAGAGTTATCGAACGTAATTATGACTGGAATAGTTGCATATGAGGTATCCACTTTACATAATACTTCCGAGTTCAAATTAGTCAAGATTTCAATAAAAAAACATTTATATAATAAATTAGGACAGCAGAGAACGATATAGGTCGTAGTTATGGTTTACAACTTCAATACATGTACATTTACAGTATATTTATTTTCATTTATAAGCAGCGTATATAAGATAAAATCATGTATATGAAGCTCTGAATGGGGTATACAGAATATAGTATAATGGGCCAATACTACAGACTGTATACCATGTATACCGAAAAATGGGTCAAACATATAGAAAAAATTAGGGCAAAAATACAATAGAGAAAAAAAGAGAATAATAGGGGGCCTAAAATGTATAGAATTGAGAATATTATGCAAAATTTATAAAGAAACGAAAATGGCTTAAAAATTTAAAATACAGAAATGAAGAACACCCCCAACCAGACCCTCTTTTTTATTGTTTAATGTTTATTTCAGATTCCGTTTAACATTTCAGATTCTGTGTATCATTTCAGGTGATATTTGACGAAGATAAAAACTGGGCATGGAGAATTTCCCACCTTTGACACCAATAATTGACACCCTTCGAGGATTGACAATAAAACTACAGGAAGGTTCAGACTACATAGACGAGGTGCAAAGAAATTTTGTATGTTATTACGAATAAAATTCTCATAATTATATATATATACAAAGCCATGTCTGGCCAAATAGAGATGTAAATCATATGCTCTGTGTAAGGTGAGAGCTATACTCTCTGCGCTTACCACTGTAACAACATGTGGTGTCTCTATGTAGTATGTCTGTTGCAGGAAAAATATTTGCCTCGATCCAACATATTCTCATTTTTCAGTGGAAGTCCAAACTTCCTGCCCGTCGTCCAGGTCAACCTACCTTGCAGAACATTTATATTGTAATGATTATTAACTTCTTTTTTTCTGAATATGCATGAATTATTTCTCACTGGACGTTTAACAATCAACAAAAAATCTTGAAAGGATACAAAAGGAGGATGAGATCCAGAGATCAAAGAATTCTGAAAACTAATAATTTGCCCGACGATGACATTGTAAAATACAGAACAATATTGGTAAATATCAAGACACCCATAGGGCACATCAAGACATTGTTAGATAATTACTGACAATTTTGAAGGATACATGTATGTATAATATATGAGTAGCGCAGTGGTTCGGATGGACTGCGTAAAAATTTCTACAAACAAATAGACCGAATGGGAATATGAGTTTTATGAAAAGTAAACTGAGGGTCCAGATTGGGAGTCTTTATTCATGTGCATTATTCTTTAATTCTGTAACCCATTTAATCTTCTGTTTTCTCTTATTAATCTCTATTCTTCATTTTTCTGTTTCCATTATTCTCTGTTGAGACAAACCCCACCAATAACATTTAAAACAAGACCTATGATGTTTTAAATCATTATATAAGTTCCATATACAAAATTGATAAAACCCAAAACAAAGAAAAATCATTTTTATTTCGGTGATTCATCGCAAAGTCGAAATGAGGATTCCAACACGAAAATAAAGATTACATTTAAATGCAAATGTGGTCGACATTTAAAGGGGGGATTCAGTGTATATGAAAACTAATTTAAATGTGTTTGTCCTAAGTTAAGAACCTCGTCAGCTGCTATCTTTAGCATTGTTGAAATATTTCTGTCCTATAAGGAAATATTTGTTGATGACAGATATTTAAAAATATCCGTTAAATCGATTTACTTTTGTATCTCCACTTTAGAGAGTATTATATATTCCATACTTATACAGGACGAGAACAGATACATAATTTTAATAAGTAGTTTCTGAAAATGGGATCAATTGAGGTGAAGAACGGGAAACTTTAAATCCATAATTTTGCCTTCAAACAGGCCATCCACAGTCTGCAAGAATTGTTCCGAGGGTATTAAACAGTAGGAGGAGAAAGTGGCATTCTCTGTACACGATTAATCCCGCTTTCGACCGAACGTGACTGTGTATTTAAATATCCCACATACATTTAACAAACGGACACTCTTCTCTAGCTTGTGTTTTACTGATAGAGGGGTATTGTCCATGAGAATAGTCCAGGTGACTATACTAATTTACACAAGACAACCCTTTAGGTAATTAAACGAAAAAAGGTTACGTTTAAACTTAAAAATATTTTGCAAAAATTCGAGTTGATTTCTGAAAAATGTAAAGAAAAGCCTTCTTACATTTGTACGAAGTTTACTGGATATTCATATTAAAATTCAACCAGTGTTGTTATTATAACATATAAAATCCTTCATTTCTGTATTCTTTAATTTTTTAGCCATTTTTCTTTATTTTTTTATACTTTTTACCCATTATTCTCAATTCTTTATATTTTAGCACCTAACTATTTTCTATTCTTTATTTTTTTAGCCTATATTTCTCTATATTTTATTTTTTTTAGCCTATTTTTCTCTATTCTTTATTTTTTTAGCCATTCATTTTGCACTTTTTGCCCATTATTTTCTATTCTGTAAACCCCATCCAGACCCTCATTACTGTTGCTCGTCCTTGGTGTTTGGTCAAATATCTTGTTGAAAAGGTTTTATTTTTCATATAATAATTTTTCGGCACAATGACAAAAAAATAAAATAAGATAAACGTAACTAAACAAAATGAATGAAAAAAACTGGTCAATTGTCCAGATAATTGTTCTGTATATTACGGATTACAAAATTTCTAGACCAGGTTTATGTACTACCATTTTAAGTCACAATATAAAAATAAGTAGACGCGGGTTGATTGTAAAGTTTCAATCATTAATAACCGTTAAAAAGAGCTTGTTCAGTTTTTCAATCAAAGGTAACCGTATTTTAGTCAAATAGTCATTTCCAAAACCACTGTGGACAGCAAAGATATAGTCTACACGTATGAAACCCCATGAAAAGCGGAGAAATAGCAAACAAAATCTAACTTCGAATTTTTTTCCTTTGTCGTAATGAATTAGGAAAACTAATTCTCGTTGGCAATATTTATTATTCTAAAATTTTCTTATATTTTTCTAGGGTTTACAGAAACTACAGAGTCGTAGAATGATAAATATGTTATCAAAATCTTTAAAATCCAGAGTAAAGAGACTCAAAGAAAGTGGGGTACAGAAAGCACTTAAAAAGGTAGAAAGTCAAATACAAAGATATTTTAAAAAGTTGACGTAAAAACCATTATAAAAATTAAATTTAAGAAATAACAGTAGTGTATCTGAATAGTTGCCACCTCGGACCCAAGCGATTAAAATTGATATTTGTGACTGTCAAATCCCAATTGACGGTGGCAACACTGCACATACAGTATGGTATGCCCATTACAGAGACATATTCGTACAATATTGAAAACAAAACATCTAAAATATAATTTCTTATATATGAAACAGTGTAAAAAAAACAAATACTCATTATTATTATTATTATTATTATTATTATTATTATTATTATTTAATCTATTAATCTCGTTTAAAAATTCACGTTTAAAAATTTATTTCAGATTCATTCAATGTTTTTAAGATCACATAAACGCTTTACGAGAGCGAAACGATTTCTGATGCATATTTACAAAAACGAAACTGAATTTCTAAATGAGGGTACCAGATTCAACGATCTGCTGCCAAAAGTAAATTCCATTCTGCAGGATCTTGACATTGCTATCGACGAATCAAATACAAGAAGGAAATTAAACAATGAAAACATTTCTGCTGAAACTTACACGTCTAAAATCTCAGACAAAATCGATCATGCCAGAAATAGTACTGATGATGAAAGTGAAAGTAGCTCATCAAGTGATGATTCAGAAGATGAAAGTAAAGATGAAGTGGATGACAATAGTGACGATGACATGACATACCGTTCAAGAGACAGATATGGTCGTTGGCAAGAAGATTTTATTAAGTTGTATAAAATTAAACTTATGTTTGAGAGAGAGCGATCTAATTACGAGCTATTATATAATTTTCATCCAATGAAAACTTCTCAGTAATAAATATGTTCGTGACACAACACATTTATATGAAACTTTATATATAATGAATAAATGGATATGTAATTGAAAAAAACACATGACGGGGTGTTTTTTTTTTTCGTTTAAAATGTTACGGTATTCGGTATCTTTACAAAAATCGACGTAAAGGCTGGTACGTAAAGGTGAACAGTTTTGTGGAAACCATTGATGCCTGTGATATATTTAATGATACATTAATTTCTATAAAAACTGTTATGCGAACAATAAATTAACGTTTTGATGTTGTTAATAACGATGAATTAAAACAAGAGCTGTTTGACGATTCGAACAATGTAAACGGAAATAAATTAAGAACATACCGTTTATACAAAACAAACGTTAAAACTGAGCGATACCTTAAGCTAAATCTTCAAAAATATGTGCGACGAACTGTTACGCTTTTCCGTAGCGGGTCTCTACAGTTGGCGATCGAGACAGGACGATATGCCCAACCGCGAACACCAGTAGATTAAAGACTATGCCGACTATTTTTAGGAACGATGTTGAAAGTGAAAATCATTTTTTGTTGGTTTGCCCATTATATGACGATATTACTAGGTTTGAATTGTTTACGAAAGCTAGAACTTTAATTGATGGTTTTGATACTCCTGATATGGACAGTAAATTTATCGAAATAATGTCTTGTGAAGATACATGTATACAAACTCCTTTGTCGTATGCAATTTTTTAATCTTTTCAAATGCGAAAACTATTTAGCACATGAGAATTTATTAAGAAATAATATTTATTTTTTAACTATTTATAACTAAAAAAAAAAATTCAGTCTTAAGTAACTCTCTCTACTGGTGACCCACTGGTTGCCTTCGGCTGTTTTCTGCTCTGTGGTCGGGTTGTTGTCTTTTTGACACATTCCCCATTTCCATTCTCAATTTTATTGATAACTTATTAATTTAGTATTTTGGGAAAATTTGTTTTTAAAGTTTAACTGTAATATACATGTATATCGAATTCTATTGATCTATTTTTATTTCTTATCTTTAAAGCTCAGTGTGGTGTTTAATAAAAATAATTTAAATCTTTTTTTGGATTTTTAGAATTTGAATTTTACACATATAGACTAAGTGTGACTTGTTTAATTAATTCTTTTAACACATAGATTTTATAATTGTTTGTACATAAGTGTAACATAAGTCTACATAAGGCTGGATATTTGGTCATTTTAATTCTGTGTTGTTTATGTAATTGTATATATATATATATGTCTGATCAAATATGTGACACGATCATAAAATAAATCATTATTATTATTATTATTATTTACACGGGTTATGACCTCACATATTCCCTGTCAGTGTTTTATATCTCCAGGGCCGCTATTCCCTGTGAAACCTTAATTGCATTTATATTATACTGGATTGTCCTGATTTGAACATTGATTATCATGCATTCTGATTTTCGTTTTAGTTCACAGATATGTGGGCTCATATATCCTGTCATGGTAACCAAAATCAAATCGTAGGATTAGCCGGGATTTTTCACTTCAGTGTAATATATTTTAAAGTCATATGAAACGAGTTTCTTATAATTTTAATGTTATCGAAATTATTGAACCAATGCATGGATATATACTAAACTTAGTCCTGTATGCACGTTTTATTTTAATATTTATTACGAATCTATAACGTATATACGTAATGATATTTCATTTAGTGATTGTGGATCGCAAGGTAATTAACTTTCGAGTGTTTTGCCAAAGTTTACCGGATCGTGACATTGATAAACAATCAACACATATCAAGTGCAGCATGTGAAAAATAAATGAATTGATAGAGCCATAATATTTATTTTTACATTTTTTATGCGTTCCCATTTATTAATTAAACTTTTCCTTTACAGTTGTTAAATTATTTGTTGTATTCAATTTGTTCTTTAAGAATCAATTATTACTATTTACTTTCCAATGCACGTTTGTTTACATTATTTCGTCACGGTTTTTCCCCTCGCACTTGCGCTGTGCGGTGGCCAACGTTCTAACGAGAGGTCTTGTAGTACGGGCAAATATTGTCGAATTAGTATACGGGAAGACAATAATTCAATTGCAGTACATTTATGAAGATTTTGATAATATAAAGGATTTTCTTTTACAAGAAAGATCACGTCCACTTGTTTTATAGTAAAACTTAGCCATTCAAGTATATAAAATATATTCAACTTTTTTTTATAAATTGGAGGTTTCATATGACTTTAATAATCATCAAAGAATGGGTTTCAAATTTGATTTAGCGAAATTCTGCATGTAATGCTAAGACAAGATATTTAATAAAAGAGTAAATGCATGATAAAATGTGTATTTAGAGAATTCTAATAACATGAATAATAAGCAGGATCTTATACTTTCGGGGCCCGTGAGATAACTACCGGGTTTTTTTGTGAAGATCATGTAGCTCGGTCTTCGGGTTTCTATGTTGTTTTTTGTGTATTATTGAGTTTGAATAATATCATATCTTTGGTATATTCCGCCTCTCTTTTAATAACAAACACTATCTTTAAACGTATCACATGGTAACATCCCATGGGAAGACTTTTCACCATTATCAGCCAAAACGTTTGCTCTTACTATAAATGCCATGGCTTGGGTGGTGGGAAACCATCAAAATAACAAAAAGTCTGGTTTAACTCAACCAACTTAACACACGACCTGCCGCACTCAAACAGAGCACGCTTACGCGACACTATCTAGGCAATAGGTTAGTTATTTGAATAAAAGTCCTACATTGGGATAAATAACACAATTCTCAGTGTGGTATCTAACGAGTTTCTCTTGTCTTGTCTTATCTCATTTCATATCATATTATATTTATTTTCTATATTTTGTTTTGTTCATATATATATATATAAATTCATATCAAGGCTTATTCATATTTAAAAGTATTTGTGTTTAGGAGAGGGATTCTCTAATGCTGTCATAAATTGTGTTCGTTTTTTTTTGTTAATTTTGCAAATAAAATAGGCTCAAACTAACCTTCTTTAGTACGTCATCGTTTAATTGGGATTCAGTGTGAAATGAATTTCAATCAAACATCTTTCAAACAACTACAGACAATGATGAATTTCTTGAACATCACTTTTATAACAAATGGCCAAAAGCAAAACTGTATGCTGATCTGTAATTAAATTATGGTGAACTTCGAATTGTATTTACACACATATAAACGACTTATAATTATTTTAATTTGCATTTTGATATTTGGTTATTTGTTGTAATTATGGATTTTCTAAGTGTAGCTACCATTTTTGAGTGACACGTTATCCTCAATTTAATATGTGATTGTAAAGAAATAGTTTTGCGTTTTGTGATATACCTTGTTCTTAGTTGCATTTTTTTAAACGAGCAAATTGAGGACATTACAATTGAAACAGTATGCATATAGTATTGAATATTTAACATTTGATTATAGATCACAAAGAACAACCTTGTACTCTTCGTAGATCGTCTCAACCCAGAAAAGCTCCGAGCCTCTATGTCTTGTACGTAAATCATTGTTAGAAGTACTACCGGCAGTTCACAAAAGGCAATTTATTTTAATATAATTATACTGGTGAATTTTGCACTGGATTCTCGTGACTGTCGGTGATTCACTCTGAAATACCGGCTCTCTACTTTTTAGAAGTAACGAAGACAAGGTCGTAAACAAACTCCGTTTAATGATCGTGTCCGTTCCGGTACTATTTTATAGAGTAGTATGTGGATTCGGAGCTGGAACTGTCGGTGAGTTTGGATCGTAAACGTAAAACTTGTCACTTCCTACCACCATCAATCTTCCAGTTTTACAGTGAATCACTTTACACCATCAAGAGTGATTTTAAGTGAATCATATTATTTTGGTATTTTGAATTGAGAAAAAGTGTCCCCTTTTTGAAGAAACACTATATAGTCCCTATATACATTGAGAAATTCAATAGTATATTTATAATGCTTTTGTATTTGAAGGCTTATTTGCTATAAGATGAAAACAACGTTTAAGAAATTTGATGGTTAAGGGTTTTGAGATTGTATGATTTAATTTTCCATAACAATTTCTTTCTTTGAGTAGGAAAATTGCATGTACATATATATACCCATTATGATAGACGTACATTTTAATATAATTATATTTTGTCGTTGACTAAGACAAAACCATAGGCTGGTTCTCTCCCTTGCAACATACGGGTATCTGAGTCACCCTAGTTGTCAGAGCCAAACAGATAAAGTGAACAGGAAACCAGTCTGGGTAATTTCATTTAATCTAAAAACGTCTTTTTATGTTTTGGATCAGTTGGTAAATACGCTTGAAATTGGTGTACCAAAAATAAATTACTGTACTTTTTAATAGAGAAAAAATAACGTTATCTAAATTTAAAATTTAAGTTTAAAGAATGATAATTTTAGTTTCATGAACTTCTTTTTAGAAATGGTTGCCTACATTAGGTTTTATACCCGGAAGTGAATATGCTATGCTTTTTCCACTCGTTCTAGATAAAATGTAAAAAACCATGGTTCTAAAAATTTTGCTAAAATGAAATAAGAGAATGCACAGAACTTATTTCGATGATTGTACGCGCAACCTCATTTTCAAATGTTTGGGAAACACACTAAACTGATTATAAAATCGTTTTTCTTGGTATCTTTGTCCCGTTTTATTTACCAGTTTTTTCTTTCGATTTCTAATATTAATCCTTAATTGATTTCTAAGGATCTACTTGGGTAAAGAGATATGATCATCCCAGGACTCCTCCCATCCGGCAATTATACTCGTACAAAGGATGAGGACGTTCGGTTGTGTGGGATGTATAAATACGTAACCGATCGAAACGGGGACGTTAAATATGAATTCGCATGAAGGGGGGTGTCACACTATCTAGAACCTGTGTAATAGTTCTCTGATGAGTCCATAAGTGATCTGTTACTGCCCTTATCGGCATACTATGATCATTCCGTGGCAGTCGAAATTCTCACTGTTTATATTGGGATTAATTGTTCCTTAATATGCGCGAAACATTTAAAAATAGATGTATCAAACAAAAACCAATAAAAAGATTTCTAAACATTGGTATTTAACAAAACGACTCGATACCGATGAGAAGTTGATGCATCATTTAGGCATCTCGAAAAGTCATTTCTCACCAATGGTGCTCGACCACAAATATAAAAAAAATTATCAAAAGTTGAAGACCAAAAAAACAATAAGTCATAAAAGTAGCTCTTATTTTCTTTTGGCTAAATCAGAAAACCCGCTGTCCTTTGAATTTTCATACAACTAGATAACTAGATTATAAACTTCTATTCCGTGTTATAGGGAAGGTCTAGCGCTCACAGACATGTTTAACTGTGCCACATTCTTTGTATTCCTGTCTCATGCCAAGAGCCTGTAATTCAGTGATTGTCCTTGGTTGCTCTCTGTCATATTTGTTTTCGTTTGTTTTGTCATAAATTAGGCGTTGGTTTTCTCGATTGAATTGTTTTATCGTATCGAGGCCTTTTATAGCTGAGTATACGGTATGGGTTATTCATTGTTGAAGGCTGTTCGTATACGGTGACCTATAGCTGCTAACATTCACGTCATTTGGACTCTAGTAATCGTATTAGGAATGTGACATAAAAGCATTCTGAGTTTGAAAAAAATACTCTCGAAAGTTTACCATCTGATTACAGACCTAAAGTTCTAGTCTATAACAAAATGACAAATAGTCAATCGATGTCCTTTTAAATCGGAATGGACAGTACGTGCATCATTGATGCACTCTACAATTTGGAAATCGAAATTTCATCTGTAAAATTAATAATTAAAAAAAGTTTTTAGGAAACGCCAGATAAACACATTCGTATTGCTCATACTGATGTCTCCGGTTAACTTAACCCGGAACATATATATGTCCTCGAAATTACGTAGGATTAATGTTGTTGTCAAAACGTAAACTACAGTTGCCACATTATTGTAAAAAAATGTAAATGTTTACTTGGGATATCGATGGTCACCAACATGGATACTCACTAACATGGACAATCACGGATATCGACAATCACAAGATTGACAATAACAAATATTGAAAATTACAGACATCGACAATCACAGACATCGATTATATATTCACAATCACAGACTCTGAAATCAACCTTCAGACACATTTACGATCATAGATATCGACTCTCCAAGACATTTTTAATCACCTACCGTACACATATGCATCGACAATCACAGACATTTACAATCAGCTATAGACAAGTTTCGACAATCAACAGTTGTAGACATAAACAATCGTAGACTGGCAATCA